TCACCAGTAACTGCCTGAAGACAGCTGACATGGAAGACTGGACGGATTGGTAGTTCTATCTCATCTCTGAAAACACAGAAGAGCAAGGTGTCCTGGTCACCTAGGACACCATCCACCACCATAAGCCAGGATGCGACCTGGTCTAAATTATTTAGATCTCAAGTATTACCCACAATTTATTCCACGGGGTAATCTGATCATAAAATCAATCTGTTTAAAGTAAGTAGTTCATTAACATGTTTGGGTGCAAGGATTTACACAAACAAATGGACTTTTTTTTTTTTGGTACTGGGGATCAAACTCAGGACCTTGCGCTTGCAAGGCAGTCCGTGGAACCACTGACCTAAATCTCCAGCCCACAAATGGACTTCTGAATTATTCAGAATTAAAAAAGACTGGGCAAAAATAAATGTGTCTAGAAAATTGAAAACTAATATGCTGTCCTTTAATTAATAGTGGTTTCATATTAATAAACCAAATAATTTCAGAAATTTCAGAACAGTTCTAAAAAATCAGGGAAGGTAACACTGTAGTGTTTTATTCCATATTCCAGAGCATATTTTTCCAGATGGACTACGATAATCTATTATCTCTCCCTTTTTGGAAGAAGGAAACAATCTCAGAATTTTACACATATATATTCAATGACATTATTTAATAAACACTGAGTTCTTTAAATAATGTTGAATATTCTAACTTGAAGATGCTTGTAGATCTGAAGAGTTTTTTTGGAATACAAAATGCAACTGTATGTAGGAATAATTCAACAGATAATGTGAGAGCTTCCAGTGATATTCTCAAAGTACAGCATAATTGATTTTTACTGCTATTGGTAATTCTTCATTCTTACATAAATCTTTTTATTCATTAAAAACAGTAACATGCATTTCAAACCAATACTACTAAGTGTAGTCTAATCAAAGCGCAAACATATTCAACAAAGACTCTGAGAAGGAGTAAGTGCTTGTCATGCCCATTTATAAAACTACTTGGAAAAATTCTGAGGCTTCCAATGGAATGGAAGACTCTCCCATATAAATATGTGGTAAGCAAAAGTCCTCCCTCTTGCTACAAATGTCATAGGAAGTTACCACATCACTTCCATTCAAATCCAGTGCATTTAAATTGCAGAGGTGTGTTCAATTTTGCCAAAGTAAAAGAAGGTATCACATTAAAGAATAGAATCTCTTATCTCCTATGATTAAAGCATGACAACCAGTTAATAGGATATTTTAAATTCATATCATGAAGGTGGTAAAACCGCATGAAATTCACACGGAAGTGCTGAATGAGAAACAGATTGAAAAAATTAGCTTAAAAATGATGTGTGTAAAAAATACGCACGCACAGGGAGGATGTAAATGAGCATGCTCAAAGAGAAGAGTTGTTTCCAAAGAATGTGGAATATTTTTGATCTGTTCATACCCCGTGTTTGTTAATCAGGTAAGAATAAAACAACTGATGGACATTAAAGCAATCACAAAATTATATTTGAAAAAGTGATCTGGAATGTATGCAGTTACATAACAATGCTTGGCTTGATTCTCCTGGGGCACAAACCCTGGGTGTTAAGGTGGCCAATGGTTGCAGCATCTCTTTCCCTGTAGTCTGTCACCCCGACACTGTTACCCAGACCTTGAGACCAGCGAAAAGTTTATTTTTCCAGACACAAATCAACACAGTTTTTCAGGAATAAAATACTATACATATTAGGTAGTAGCAATCAACTATAAGGCAAACAGTTTGTGTTTATAGAAAATTACACTGTGCTTTTAGATGTTCATTATTTACTTAAATTGAAATTTTAGTTAAGAGAAGTATTAAAAGTTACTATACTGAGTAGCTGCATCATTAGTTTATCAAGAAGGTCCAAATATTTCAAGTTTATCTTTCAGAGATACAGCAGTGAATAGTATTATTAACTAACCTTAAAAACCAAAGCTGCAAAGAATAATGATGTTAAAATTATCAAATGGGATTTCTTTATAAATAAACTAAACAAATACTCTTTACAAAATGATACAGTTAGTAGGTAACAGAATGATTTTGTCTTTCAGATACAGCTCCAACTCAGGAAAACTTTTGTTGTGTCTTATTTTCAATTCTCCCCTAAAAACAGATATTCTGGCACTAAGTAGATGGCAATGTGTCATTTGACCTTTAAACTTCAGTTTCATTAACAGAACCACAAGCCACAGAGTCACTGACAGGCATGTTTGCACTGTTAGGCCTTTAGCACTCAAAGTTATTTGATAACTGTTGTGCCCTTTCTGGTTTCTCTTAGGCATTTTGAGGAATATGTTACAACAAAAAACAAAATATATTGTGTAAAGCTTGATAAATGATATTTAATTTGGCTAAGTGTTCTCTGAAGCACCCAGTTCATGTTTGTGTATTGACGGGAAGGCAGGGGGGAGTTCATAATGTATATCTGTTTTGTTTTCTATTAAATTAGAAAATAACATCAACTATGATTTTAACTACAGAAGTAAAAAAAATAAGTACATGACTTTACTCTTGATGAAAATTTTGTCACTTGATTCTTTCACCTTCTGTGAATCTGTAAGCCCTAACTGCCTTCATCTATGAACAAAGCACATACAGACCCAGGAGACGTCAAGAAAAATAACTGATACTACATTTTTTAATGGAGGGAGAATTTCTTGTAAAAAAAATGTTAACTTATATTTAAAGCTATGGGCAATGTAAAAAGTTCAACAGTTGGATACTCCCCAAAGAATTATAAAAGTAATGTCAGAAAATTCTTTGGGGTAAAAAGTAATGAAGATAAAATTTGTTTCATATATGACAAAAATTATTTTTTATTAAAAATCTAAAACAATAAAACCCAATTGGTTAGAAGCATCATTGAGAAGAGACAGATATTCTTTTCTCTTTTAGAAGTTTTAAAAGTTACCTAAATTAAGATATTACAAAATTCCAGATATGGCAAATGAATGCAGGAGGAGCAATACCTAGAAAGTAAACAAGGTTCACACTAAACCAAAAACACTGTGACTGCCTTGCCTCCACAGATTAGCAAAGTATTAGTGTTGCAAGCAATGACTGAATTAAATGTATGCCTCCAGGAAACGGGAGTTAGGGGCAGCTATTTTAATTGACCATACAGTTTATTACATTATTCCCTGGGTGACAAAATGCCAAGAGATATCAAGAAAAGATCAGCAATCCACCAAACCCATGACACTGAAATGGTACTGCTCACTACACATAAGCAACACGCCAGTACAAACACTGTATAGCAGCTCCCTGACAAGGAAGGTGCATTTTGTCATTAACACTGTTACGCAAACTTCTAAAAGAAACTTAATATCAGGAGTAAACATAGGTTTAATTTACATCTGCTAAGTGACAAAGTGCTCATCGCTACTACCAACAATGAAAAGTTATTTTAATATGTTATCACAAAAAAAAATTTGTTATTTTTGTATCACAGTTGTATTTGTAACAAAGAAAACATCATTTAAAACATACAGTATTGGTGTGTATTTGAAGTTATAATAGCATTTAATGTAAATAAGGGCTCATAAGCATGTTTCCAAATGTACAAGTCATATATACCACACCCACATGACTGAATTTAAAACGCTGCATGATTCAAGCACAAATATATCCCACTCTCTTTCACCTTAGGCATACCACATACACTCACTCCGTGCAGTCTACACTTATAAGTCAACTACCACCCAGTGGAGAGAAAGCAGATCTTCCCGGAAGATCTGAGGTGTATGGTAGGCGGGGGCATCAAAGCAGAAGTGGGGGCCACAGGAAATGAAGGTGTAGGGCTGTTAGTCTTGTTTAGACCTGAGCAGTGCTGATCATCAATCTGTATTTTCACAGGAGAGCAAATGTTTCTAGAAGCTCACTGTGCAGTGCTTAGGGGCACAGCCAGGCTGGGAGGTTCATTAAAGACCAAACACTTCAGTGTTCAAGCTTGAAAAAGAGGGGGAAAGGGAGGATGGGAGTAAAACTGAAAACAGGAAGGAAAAAGGTTTGCAGGGGCCTGAGAGTGGGGATGAGCAGCATGGGAGACAGTGTGAGAGTGAGGAGAGACACAGTGTGTACACATGTGAGTGACAGTGACAGCGTGTGGAGCCAGAGACTGTGCCTTTTAAGCAGTGAGAGAATCTGAAAATCTGAACGGGGAAGCGGCTGTTGGAATATGAAGACCCAGTGTGTGTGAGGCCCAGAAGACCCGGAGCGTTTCTCACATGACAAAACAGTCCTGAGGGGCCCTGGAACTGCATGTGGGTGTGACACGGAGGGGGAAGAGCTGGGCACAGGGACTGGGGAAGTCAGAGAGGGAAGATGAGGCACAGAATAAGGACATTTATGGGGAGGGGGCTCAGGGGGAGGAAGGGGTGAAAAGAAGAGCAAAGGGAGTCAAATGAGTGGATGTGGAGTTAGAGTGGTGGTGATTAACTAGGGGAGGAGATCGGAAAAAGAAACAGTAAAAACAGGAAAGACGGGATGCAACGGAGGAAAGAGAGCAAAGCACGGAGAAAATGAAAAACGAGAGAAAGAAGGGAGAGCGAAGGGAGAAAGCGAAAGCAGCGAAAGGAAAGAAAGAACAGTGAGGAAATTGAGCAGGAGGCGTCCGAGCGAGAAGGAAAATAAACGGAGCAGTTTGCAAAAGTCGCTCCTGCTCAGGGGAAAACAGAAAGGCGCCCGTAAACTTGTCGGACTCGGCCAGAGGCGCCCCGGCGGTGAGGCAGGGCCGGGTCTGCCAGGGCTCGGGCCTCGGTCTCCCCACTGCCCGGCTGCCCCGGCCCGGCCCGGCCCGGCCCAGACCGCTCCCACCTGCCCGGCTCCGGAGCACCTGGGCGCCTGGAGCCCGGGCCGAGGATCCTGAGCACCGCGGGGCTGCGAGGAAGCCCTCGGAGAGGGCGGCCAGGGCGGGCGGGCGGGCGGACGGACGGACGGACGGACAGACGGCCGGGCCGGAGCCAAGCAGGACCGGCAAGCGCGCGTCCCCCTACCTGAGCACCGCCGTGTCTCCTTTCCGGACCAGCATGTTGTCCACGGACGCCCAGGGGAAGTCCACGCTCTGTCCGGCCGGGAGGCACGAGGGCAGCAGGCAGCACAGGCTGAGCAGCACCGCCGCCAGCCACTGGTTCGAGCCCCAGGCGCCCTGCAGCAGGAGCATCGCGTCCATCCCGCGCGGCTCTCGCTCGGCGCTCTCCGCTCGCCCCCGCCCCGCAGCCCCGCGTCTTCCCGAGCCGGCTGCGCGCCGCTGGGGTTTTTTGTTTTTTTTTTTTTTGGAGTGGGTGGGTTTCTTTTCTTGCTTTCCTCCGCGCTCCTACTTGTTGGGTGTTGTTCCTCTTATTTCTTCCTCCTCCTCCTCCTCTCCGCCCGCCCCTCGGGCTCCGCGCCGCTACACCTCCTCTCGGCTGCTCCGCCGTGTCCGGAGCGGAGCGGAGCGTGCGTGCCGGCGCCCGGCGGCTCGCGCACCCCCTAGCGAGGAGGCGGGGAGGCAGGGAGGCGCGGGGCGGCGGCGGGTGGGAGGGAGTGGCGCGGGGCGGCGGCGGCTGCGATCGCGGTGGCTCGGGCTGCGGGAGCCGCGGGAGCAGCGGCGGCCCTGGCCCCCGGGCTTGCGCGCGTTGCCAGGCGGCCGTTTCCCTGGCAACCCCACCCGGGGATGCGGGATGGAGCCGGGCGGGGAAAACGGGGAGCAAAAGAGGGAGAGAGAGAAAAGAGGAAACCGAAGCGCGGAGAGACGACGTCTCCCCGCACGCAGCCCGGCCCCGCTGGGGCCACCCGCGGGCACCTCGGGGTCTGCGCCCCGCCCCCCGCGCCCCAAGTTTAGTCTTCGAGTTGTAGCCGGCACCAGGCGCGGCCGGACTGTGCTGACGCTCGCTTTCCCCGAGCGCCGAGCGGTCCCGCCGCACTCGGCCCACTCGGGGGAGGAGGCGTGCGGGGTGCCGGCCGGAGCGGGCTGGGTTTTATTGGGTTTTTATTTCTTCTGTGCGGGGACACGGAGAGGGGCCAGGCCTGGCGGGAGCGCCGCGGCCGTGCGCGTCGGGTCGGCCCGCGTGGGTCGAGGCTCGGCCGGGGGCCCGGGCGCGCGGACCCCGAAGTGCGACCCGCGCGTGACCGCAGTAGGGGCGCAGCGCGGGAGCGCGCCGAGGGGGAAGGTGGGGAGCGCGCCAGACGCAGGCGCGCTGTGATCAGGGGCGGGACTGCGGGCTGCGGAGTCCGGGACCGAAATCCAGGGTTTTAACTGTGGCGCCCGCGCGCGGCCGGCCCCTTAGGTGAGAGGCGCTTTCACCCGTGGGGGCCGATCGGGCGGGGCGCGGGGCGCTCCCTTGCGACCCTGCGGACCTTGTAGGAATCAGCCCGACCCCGCGTGGGAGTCCGAGGCTCAGCGGTCCGTCACATTCACGGCGGAGTTTGGGCAGCAGGGCGGGAGTGGAAGAGAGAAACGAGTGGAAGAGAGAAACGAGTGGAGCCAAATAAACCGGCCCTTCTCATCCAGGCCGTCCTCCCCCTCCCGCTTCCGCGGGGTTTGCAGGAGACCAAGCCTCGACCCGGTCTTCCTTCCCTGGAGGTGAAGCCGCGGAACCGTTCGCGCCCGACCGCGCTCGGGAGCAGCGAGCTGGGCGAGGCCGGCGGGGTTGCGCTGCGCGGTGATCCTTAGGGCCGAGCTTGGAGACGGGGACGGACTCGACAGGCTGGGACCGCCCGCGCCAACCGAGCCCAGAGCTCGCCCGGCCCGCGGACCCCGAGACTCCGCCGCGGACCGAGCTGCCCGCGCCGGAGCGCAGTTCTCCGAGCCGCCTGGAAATGCAAAGTGCACCAGTATTCAGCCTCGTTTTGAAACATCAATAAAATGTTAGTCATTTGCGGATGAATGAAAACATTTTCTTTACCGTCTGGCGTGCTAGGGAAATAATTGTCAAATGACAGACTCGCGCTAACGCTGGTGCCAAATACCTAGGTAACGCTGTCATCTCTCTCCTTAGCTCCATATTCCGTTCTCCTGCGGCTCGCTGCTGGATAAAGATTAAAATTATCTGGGGCAAACGAGGGATTAGAAGAACGGACAGGTCACGTACATGGGCAGAACTAGGTAGTATTATGTAGTATTTTCTCTAGAGATAAACTCGATCCCAGGGAAGACAAGCTTGTAAAGTGCAGCTTCCTGCAATGTGACTGGGTTTAGTACTGCTTGACGCAGGGTTAAAGGTACCAGAGTTTTCTAGGACAGCCTATCAAAGGCATCCTTTCCTAACTGCGGCTTCCCAGAGAGGGCATCTCTCCAGGGTCCCGGGTGGGCAGAGGGGAGGAAGGAGGAGGGGCTTCCATGACCAAGGTTGGAGCCGGGCGGCAGTTTCAATGTGAGCAACAACCCTTTGGGCTCGCAAAGGAAGGGAAGCTGGAGCGGCTTCTATTTAAAGGCAGAGTTTCTTTTCCTTACTTCTATTTGTCAGCTGCTATTCTCTGATCAGAAGGCACTTAACGCTCCCAGAACTCATCCCCAGCAAGCACTGAGTAAATCTGTTTTATAGATGCATGGACTATTGGACAGATTATTTAGAGGTTGCTCACTGCTAGGATTTAAAATGAGTGCCAGAATGTTGGGTGGGCAGCCCATTTTACACTGTGTTCTACTGCTGTCCTCTGCCTGGGGAGGAAAATGGTTTCAAAAGCTTTCATGGCATTCTTTCCCTTTGACCTTTCAACAACAACAACAACAATAATAATAATAATAATAATTGGTTTCCAATATTTGCTTTTGAGGTCCTAGAGTTCTTCCAAGCAGGGTCATAAATCCTGGAATTCTTGGCTGCTTTTGAGGGAAAGCCAGATCGAAAACTACAAAATGAAAGAAGGAGAAACCCTTCCTGTATCAAGAACAGACAACAACACTGCTTCAAACTTTTTAGGTGGTGAAGATTGTTTTGGGTGTAATGGGGATACATCCTTGATCAGAATTTTTAGATGCTGACATTGGGATTAATTCTTGTATAATTACATTTATTTTGTTTTTTAAAGAATTACAACAACCCACTATGGAACTAGTTTGGAAGAAGAGTAGAGACTGATTAAGATGGTTGATTATTCCATTATCAAAATTCCTTTCTTTCATGCCTTCTAAACTGTATTTTGAATCACTCAAATGTTTTGAAAAGGGTAATATTATAAAACTTCTTTATTTAATAAGCCCTTTTTAAAAAAATTCAGTGGTGTACATGATATTATTATGGAAAAAATAGAATATGCATTCACCTTTGATTTAGATCAGAAGGAAAGCTACTTTCATCTTTCTTGTTATTATCACTGCCTGGACATGAAAAATTTTAGGCAAAGCAGTTCGGGGAACCTAATAGAAAGAGACAATGAAAGCACTTTGTAATTCCTGAAGGAGTCTGTGAAGGCCCTATCCACAGAATGTATGAATCACAGCACAAACCTGTCTGTAACTGATTCTCTATTTGAATTGAACTGTTAGCTTAGAGCACCTTCTCAACTAAAATTGACCTGTATTGATGGTTTTCAAATCAGTGTGAGGTGTACAGAGCCTAGGAAATCAGTTGCAGGATTTCTCAACCTAGACTTTTTCTGACACGGATGGCCAAGTAATCACAGTGCAGACTGCCTTGCACCTTGGGTAATATTTAGCAGCGTCCACAGCTCTCCAGGCTAGATGCCAGCATTAATAGTAGATGGCAGCAGTTGTAAACATCAAAATTTCTCTAGACACTGCTCAATGTCATGTGGAATGGTGGTAATGAATCACCGCAATTTAAGAAACCTTCCATTGTAGGGTATATTTCTAAAAATACTCCTTTTCAAATAAAACAATGAGGCAGATTTGTGGTTTAAACAAAAATATCTATTTGCAATGTGGAGTTACAAAATCCACGCCTCCTCTGTTCAATGTCTTTACCCAATGTAAGATCCAGTAGGTCAAATTAGCACTGATGCAATGAATTTAATGAGGGACCATAACAAAAATATCTTCCTGTGATTTTTATCTATAGGCTGTAAAAGTATAGCTCCAACACCATTATTGTGACCATGTCTTCTATATTTTAGGAATGCATACTTTTGTTTTGCATAGTTTAGTTACTCCAACTATTGTAGAAGAAAGAAGTAAGAAGTGTGTTTGTAGGCTTTGAGAAGGGTACGGTTGCATAGTCTGCTCTCAAAGCTCTTCAAGCCACTCTCATTGAATGACCCTGAAAATTTCATCTAAGTACTTTAAAAAGAAAGAAAAAAATCTTACAGTACATTGAGGGTAGAAATCAGTTCTAAAGCAGTAAGAGTTTTATTCTTTTTTTCTTAAAATAAGTTTAGCTTTATTATAGCTTTTGTTATATTTTTTGTGCATTCAAAAACATCACTCATTTTTAAGTTTCTTTCATTTCCCAAGGCTTTTGGATTATTAAGTGCATCTATTAAAAACTAAACATTGAACTTGTTGTTTTCTAATGGACTATGAAGAATGTAAAATCTCATTTTTCCAAAAAAATATTTATTTTGGTTTTTTATGTTGTTTTATTTCCTAAAATGTTCTGATTCTTAGTGCAGGCATTTTTGTTTTGTTTATTTTCACACTCCACTATGTGTTAATTCTGTCCTTTTATCTTTTTTCTATAATTTGTATATTCATGTGTGTTTAGGGAAAAAACAGGGCATCATTGTGTAAACTTATGGAGCCATATTGAAAAGAATTACTAATTTTTAATTTGAAGAAAAAACTCTTTATCACCAATATAGTTTTCATAAAATAAGAGTGTGAAAACATGTCTTTGAATAAAGGTTCTAAGCAGGAAAGACCTATAGCCATTCCATTCCATGACCATTTCCGGCAAGAATTGGGATTTTTACGGCTATTCTTTTAACCTGTGACAGTCGTAAAAAAAAGTCATAGGAAATTAAACAATTGGTTTTTCTTAAGATTAGAGGAAACCAACCAAGTCTGAAGTGATCTTAAAGACCAATATCAAATACCTTTCCAGATTCATAATACCCACCCATGTTCGTGACATTTTCAAATTTTTATTCTAAAATATAGCCCTCTTATAAAAACATACTTCCAGAACAGTGCATAAAATATAAAGGTGCAGCTTAGAGAATTAATTTTAGGAATTTAATATCGATTTAGTTTCATCCAGATTAAGGAAAAAAAACTACAAGCACACATTTCTTAGTCACAACCTTAATTTTTTCCCTTTGAAATTAATCACTATAATTATTTCATGGTCATCATTTCCTCATTTCTTTACATTTTTATCACTTGGTTTTGTGTGTCTTTGAAACAATAGCTTGGTTTCACATGTATTTATGCAAAACGACTTCATATCAATATAATGCGTAATTATACAGTGTTTGTTTTTCTATCTGTCTTCTTGTGCTGAACATTATATGTTAGGATTCCTCCACACAATTGTGCAGCTGTTGTTTCTTCATTTTTGTATCTATGTAGCATTTCATAGTGTGACTTTACAGTTACATATTTATTCATTATATTGTTGGCACACAATCATGTTCTGTATTGTTTATTATACACAGTGATGCTATAAATGCTCCTGAATTTCAACATTAAAAACTTCCATCAGCTTGGTATACATACATATTATATATAATTATATATACATATATAAAACGTGTATATTTGATAATGTATTTGCACATTATATTCATAACTTTGCATCGCTTAATGATGGGCATATTTTGATTTTGATCTTATACAAACATCATAGACTATATTTACACCAAACTGATAGAGTCTACTATATACCTAGGCCATATTGTACAGTCCTTTGTATCTAGGCTGCAGCCCTAAATATAAAATTACTATACCAAAAACTATAGGCAATTTTAACATAATGATACATATTTTTATATCTAAGCATTGAAACAAAGAAATGGCATAGTAAAACAATCTGAGAGATAAAATCTAGTACAACTCTACAGTACATGAACCAAATGCAGTGGAGCTGCCAAGACCGGAAGTTGCTCTGTGTGAGTCTGGCTTACTTGTCAAGTGAATGTGAAATACTGAGGACTTTATAAAAACTATGCACCTAGGTTTTCCTAAATTTATAATTTTTCTTTCTTCCATAGTGAATTAATCTTAGCTTACTGTAAGATTTTTTACTTCATAAATTTTTAATTTTTAAATTTTTGACTCTGATGATATCTAGCCTTAAACACATTGTACAGCTCTACAAAATTATTTTTTTTTGTATCCTTATTGTATGAGCTTTTTCCTGTCTCAAAAACTGATTTATTTTTCACTCTTACAAGTTTCATTAAAAACTGAGGCATGAGCACACCCATTACTCTGGCTTACCTAGGAACAAACTCATAAATCTCACCAGTGTCTACTCCCATGTCCTGTCCCACACGGAAGCTCTCAGGGACAGTCACATGGATGACACCAGAATCCACCAGGATGATGATGTCTTTTTCTGGAAAACCCTCTGAAGGACCTGCCTGAGGCTCTCCCCGAGGAGCTGTCTTTCTTCTTATAATTATGTCCATGGTGGATTGCTTGGCTTGCTTCTTTCTTTCTTTCTTTCTTTCTTTCTTTCTTTCTTTCTTTCTTTCTTTTTCTTTCTTTCTTTCTTTCTTCCTTTCTTTCTTTCTCTTTCTTTTTCCTTGTATTTACTCAGAAGCAGGTAATGCACATTCCTCTATATTAATGAAAACCTGTTGGCGTGGGTCCATATTAGCAGTTTGTACAAGGATTGTAGAAGTCTGCAGAAACTTCTCCTAAACCCTGCACTGAAAATTTTGCAGATTCTTCTTTTTCTTCTCTTGCAATTTCCTTTTCTCTTGTCTCTTCTCCAGCTATGCACTGATGTTCTGCTCCAACTCCTCCTGAGCCAGTTCCTC